AAGAGCAAGGTGCTATGAGCAGATCCTCCCCAGGTGAAAACAGACGTCTCCTGCAAAAGGTGCTGTTTTGTGGCCTTTGGTTTTTTGGCTCTTTCATGCCTGGAACCTGCAGGTGTGGGTGAGGCGTCTCGTGGCTTTTAGCACTGGCTTCTTGGAAAATGTCCCAGGGTGGAGAGAGGCTGCCCTAACAGTTTTTTCTTCGATTCTTTATTTGTCCAATAGGCATCTATTTACCACAGGGCCGAACTAACAGCCAAAGTTGTTTATTATTTCCTGTGATGCTGCTTTTGCAAGCATGGAAAGTCTTATTATAAACCCTCCAAACGATCCCAAGACCATACCTACACCCACCTTCTTTATCTCCTCCACACACCACGCCAATACTTCCCCTGCCCTCCATCAACTCAGGGCCAGGTACCAGACATCTAGGGAGAGCCCCTACACCCCAAATCTTGCTGGAATTATTTAAACTTAGAGTTTATCGGGTAAACACTCAAAAGAAAAGAAAGAAGGGAAATGGTCAGGGACAGACAGGAGACAGAAAAAAAAGGGAAAACTTTATCCACCTACAGATACAGCTGCCTGGTTGGTCCATAAGATTTTTTTTAAGAGGAAAAAGGGGGCAGGGGTTACTGAGAAGAGGACAGATTAGATTGAGCACAGGGAGCAGCTGTGCTTAGAAGCACTGGGCCCTTCCCCCTCCCTCTGTCCTTTTATCAGCCTGAAACAGAAACCACTACAGCTTCAGTGGCTAAAAGCCTAAAATAGGAGAAAAGCGGATGGGCAGGGAAAAAAGAAAAACAAAACCCTAATACAGGGCGAGAAAAATAAAAGGTTACTAAATTATGTATAAATTATGAGTACTTAATTTATATATTACTAGAGGCCCGGTGCATGAATTTGTGCACAGGTGGGGTCTGGCTGGCCCACCCCAATAGGGGCTGATCGGCAGGGCTGGCTGGGGGAAGGGGCCTCTAGTGGTTGGCCACCAGCCCTGCTCTCCTGGTCAAACTCCCAGTCAAGCACACCGGACGAGGGAACAATTTGCATATTAGCCTTTTATTATATAGGATGAATACACTAGTGGCCCAGTGCACGGATTCATGCACATTGAAAGGGAATTAATTAGAATAAACATTTTAATATTGCTGTTCACCCTTTTTCTATAATAGAAGTGTCAGAGATGAAAGAAAATTAGTAAAATGTATATGAAAATAATATATAAATTGATTAATAAATAAACAATTACAACATGACATAACAACAAAGATATGATATAAAAACAACAAAAACATGTTATAACAAAAAGATAAAAATGGCTTTTGTGCGCCTACAACCTAAGTCCTAAATTAACTCTGACATTTGCTAAAATGTACCAATAGGCAAAAATTTCTGGACTTCATTATTACCAGGGCTTAATTACTATAGTTATACCTGGGGATCCCACTAAATGTAAACATTGTGCCCCTATAATCTTAAGAAAACAACTATAAAATAGAGAAAAAAAATAGGAATGCCTCACTAACTATTGCCTTGCCTAAATTTCCCTTGCTTATCATACCCATATCCATAAAAATATCCCATATTGGACAAACACACTCTAACACAATAAATAACAAATCAACAAATTAAATCTTTGGCAGGTACAAATTGGCTTGATACAATGGGACCCCAAGGACCCCACTCCCCAGTTAAAATAGTTAATTTGGTTCAATATAAGTTAAAACAGAGCCTTCACCGATTAACTTATTATATAAAACCCAATTAATAACGGGGTGACTAGCCCCAGTGCTTTTCTACTCGATAATACAATCCTGTCTCTTCTTAAACTTGGAAAAATCAGGGTGCTGCCTTTGTTATCTTGGGTTGTCATAACAAAACACCAGACTGGGTGACTTCAACGACATTCATTTTCTCACAGCTCTGGAGGCCGGAAAGTCCAAGATGAAGGTGCTGGCTGGTTCAGGTAATAGGCCTCTCTCTCTTCCTGGCCTGTGGACAGCAGCCTTCTTGCTGGGAGCTCACCTGGCCTTCCCTCTGATAGCACTTTGTAATTCCCTATTCATTAGGGCCCTCCCTTACAACCTCATTTAACTTGCGTTACCCTTCCTAAAGGTCTTATCTCCAACACAGTCACATTGGGAACTGGGATGGTGGCGATTGCACGCCGGGAGAGGGCAATGGCAGATGTTGGAACAGGAGCCCCAGGGTGGATTACTACAACACTAATGCTTTGGTCCCACCCATCAGGGCCTCCATACCCGTATCCAATATTATTTTAAAATACATTTTATTATTTTTTTACAGAGAGGAAGGGAGAGGGATAGAGTTAGAAACATCGATGAGAGAGAACCTTGATCAGCTGCCTTCCCGCACACTCCCCACTGGGGATGTGCCCGCAACCAAGGTACATGCCCTTGACCGGAATTGAACCCGGGACCCTTCAGTCTGCAGGCCGACGCTCTAGCCACTGAGCCACACCGGTTAGGGCTCCAGTATCCAATATTAGAGTTACTGGCTCATCTCTCACGTATAAGGACACCTTCTGAAGCCCATGTGTCCCTCCTGGGTGCTCCCATAATATCCATCCTCTTTCTTATGGCTTATGTTGTCATTATTAGTGAACAAGTGTCTGCCTCTTTCACAGTCTAACCCACTTTATACCCCATGAGGAAGTTCTCCAGAGTCTAGCACAACGCCTGGCAGTAGAGAAGGGTACAGAGTTGAAGGACAGAGAAGAAAAAGGCAAACGGAGGGTATGGGCCAGCCGTGGGCAAACTACGGCCCGCGGGCCGGATCCAGCCCGTTTGAAATGAATAAAACTAAAAAAAAAAAAGACCGTACCCTTTTATGTAATGATGTTTACTTTGAATTTATATTAGTTCACACAAACACTCCATCCATGCTTTTGTTCCGGCCCTCCGGTCCAGTTTAAGAACCCATTGTGGCCCTCGAGTCAAAAAGTTTGCCCACCCCTGGTATGGGCAGTGTGTGAAGCAGTCGATTTCAGCTGAGTGTCAGCCCTCTGTCAACGTAAGAAACATTCAAACCTGTAAAGATTTTTTGTGAGTTTATTTGAGCCAAACTGTCCACAATTGCTGGGAAGCAAAATCTCAACAGATGGAAATAATGACGCTTTTGCACCTTATTTTATACATTACAATCGAAAGAGAAGACTTGTGTGGGTTACATGAAATTCACTGGGGATAGATTAAGGAGGTGGGAGAAAACCAAGTGGCAACTTCTGGGATTGGATAAAAAGTAATATGGCCCTAACTGGTTTGGCTCAGTGGATAGAGTATCGGCCTGCAGACTCAAGGGTCCCAGGTTCGATTCCAGTCAAGGGCATGTACCTTGGTTGCGGGCACATCCCCAGTAGGGAGTGTGCAGGAGGCGGCTGATCGATGTTTCTCTCTCATCGATGTTTCTAACTCTCTATCCCTCTCCCTTCCTCTCTGTGAAAAATCAATAAAATATATATTTAAAAAAAGTAATATGACAAGACACATCTTTTACACAGGTGGGTACAGGGTAGTTAACAGTCAACAACTAAAGTAATAATAATGAGAGGATTTATGGCCTCCACTTGGGTGCATGGGTTGTGTCCAGAGGGGTCTGGAAAAGGGGGAGTTACCCTGACATTCCAAAGGTATGTTATGATAGATGCAAAAAGAGACAATAGCCAGGCTTAATTAAGGTAAAGACTGACTTTTACCAGGGAAGATTCTAGCCCAGGACATGACTACCTGCCGTAGACAGCGTTTAGTTTAAAAGTTTTAATTTCAGACCATCCTGTGTGGTCATTGTACGTCTCTGGGTGTGCAAGGCCGCCCCTTGGGCCTTCCCTGAGCTTGTCAGGTTAGTATGTGGCCCC